GGCAGGCGTGAAGATAAATCAATCACCGAGGGCATTCCTGCTTGCTGCGCCTGTGGGACGACCGGAGCTTCTTGTGGGCACTGCTGCGTAGGAGGAGGTCGATACGGCGGTCGATCTGGCAGTTTGTCCTTGATCTCCGTCAGCACCACTGACAGCTCCTGCACTACTGTACCAAGTTCCTGCACAGCGCTGTCTGTATTGCGGGCCAGCTCCAGCATGGGGGTGATGCCAGGGCTGTCTGCGGGAGGGGCCCCAAAGGCCGCCTTCAACTCAACCATGGCGTTCTGTAGTGCTTCTGTGGCCTTGATGAGGTTGCGGAGTTGCCCTGCTTCCTCTCTGGCGTATGTCTGAGTGGAACCCATAAGGCTCCCAACTTGCTGCTGGAGGTTTTCCACCCTCTCCCTGAACAGAGATTCTGTACGATCCAATTTGTCCGGCATGTTGTCGATCTTGGCGATGGCACTCTGCAGGCGGGGGATAGCCTCTTCCAGCTTGTCAAGGGTCGTCGTGCTTTGTGTGGCAGCCGTCTTGACGACCGCTTCCAGGGCTGCCTGGACCGAGTCCATCTTGCTCTTCAGTGCACCATCCAGTGTGGCAAAGCGGGCTTGTTCCGCCTTGCTCGCCCCTTGTACACTAGGCACGATCGTGTCTACCACCTTCTGCATCGCGCCTAGCATGTCCTGGATTTCCTGAATTTCCTTGAAGAGGCCGTTCAGCTTGTCCACACGGGGAAGCAAGTCCTTGAGGGGGAAGACGATGTCCGTGATCTTCTCCAGGGCCGCATCGACGACTTGAAATCGCCGAGTAAGGCGGGTGTTGGTGTCCTGCAGAGCCGAGTCCAATGCATCAATCTTCAGGTGCAACGTCGAATTCGCTGAATTCATCAATTCACTCAGCATTGCAGAAAGCTTGTCCACCAGGCCCATGTCTCCCATCCTTGCAATATCTCCCATCTTGGACTCGACGATGCGCAGGACCTCTTCAATGATGAAGTCCACCACTTGCTGTGGCAGTGTTGTGCCCGACCCCGGGGCCAATGTTCCGCCGGCAATCGTGGTTGCTTGAGTTCCGGCCGTCGTTGCAGCTTGAGTAGACACATCATGGTCCGTCGTGTTCACTCCCTGGCTCGCTGGAGGGCCATGGGCCGAGGAGCGGAAGAACCTTCCACGTCGGCGCCAGAGCATCTTCAGGCACTGAATCGCAGCGAGTGCAGCGAAGAACATCGCAACATATGTCCACGTCAAGGGAGTCGCCTGCCAAAGTGCTTCGGCTTGCTCCATGACCGTGGCCTTGAGGACCACCCACAGAGAGGGCATCTCAGTGGAAGACGGCCTGGGGGGGACACGTTCCATGTCGGATGTCGTAGGCGAAGGCAGGGAGTACTGACTACTCTAGCTCGAGCACTGCAGATCAGAGTCAATGATGTCGGAAGGCCGCACACCAAGGTTGAATTCAGGTGATGGACATCGCGGTGCCTAAGCTGATTGTAACCTGGCTTCCAGTGTCTGTGCCTCAGAGATGACAGACAGCGCACGGGGTATGTTGCACACTCCATGCACTTACCTCATGTAACTTACCATTGACTGAAAATAAACTTCGAATTCGGGCCACATCTCCAAAGACTCAGATAAATTCTCAAACAAATTCAATTCAGGCAAGGAGCCATGCAGGAGTGAAACATGCTGAACATGGACATGCAGAACGTGCACATGCAGGTGGCACAAACAGTATGCAGTACGCAATACTTCTTCTGTACAAGGCAAAGCCTTACGTACACCTAGTAGTGCGAGGGCTCAGTCATCCTTCCAGAATACATACGACGTCACTGTCTTCATGCGAGGTTGCTCCAGCTGTGGAGTCATCTGAAGACAAACAGATGTGCAAGGGTCCTCGCGTGGGCTTAAGTTGGCACTCGCCCCAGAGGCCTGCCCGTGGGGGGCCCGTAGGGGTGCCTGCGTGAAAGCCATATTCTCGGAGGCTTTTCTGCAGTCCTCCGGAACCTGGGGGAGAAGGCACACAATCCACGCTGTCATCTACCAAAGGTGGCGGCATAAACCCCAAACAGCGCAAAGCATCGATGTCCTCAGCACTGAGTTTGTTCCCATCCAAGTAACAAAACCCTAGAGGTTCCTTCCAGGACCGACGCGTGCCATAAGGTCCTTGCGTTGAGTCTGTATCGATGTCCACGTAGGATGGTCCCACGGCGGGACACTCCATCTGGGCAGCGGACCACCTCATCACCGTTGGGGGCCTCAACCCAGGTGCCTCCAGGTGCTCCCTTGGAAAGATTGACAAGGAGAGTGGGCATCGAGGTATTGCGCACATCGTTGTGGGGAGGCTTATCCACATCAACCTGAACTTGTATTGCAAGAAAGAAGTCTCCAGGGAACTCTGAGGCCAGAAACGCCGTGAGCAGCTTCGTGGTTTCAGGGTACGCTCGGGAGAGCACTCTGACTCCCGCTTTCACTCTCACGAATGCCCCTAAGGCAACAGGTCCACCAACTTCCTTAGCAAGCGAGCTTGCCACTTCCAGCACCTCAGGGTAGCCCGGTTCTCCATGATGAAGAAGGTGCATTGCATGTGCTTCGATTGACATGTTCTTCACTGAGGGGGATGAGCTCTCTACCACTACAAACTGCACACAGCAGGAATATCATGGACGTCCTGCCCCCCCCTCCCTGGTCCCCACTTACTCCTACCGAAGAAAAGGACAGCTGTCCCTAAGCGCATCCGCGAGTTGCTGGGCACCTTCACAAAAGTAGGCATGGGAGAAGTCCAAGGTCCTAACCAGGTACTTGCTGTGCTGCGGTACAAAGGCCGCACTATTAAGGAGACGACACCACCGGCTTTCCTCCTTAGGGGGGGGTTCCAAGAAAAGACGTTGAATTCCCTGCCGGTCCAGGAGGTTTAACGCCTCAGTGGCATCTGCCAACAAGGGTAGGGGGACATGCCGATGGAAGACTGCTCGATGCAGGTATTGTGGGGGCAAAACGACGCTACCTGCTTGTCCAAAGTGTTGACAAATTCCAAGAACCTTGTAGGCCAGCCTGAGAACTGCAATACTGCGCGCCAACAGGGTATCATTAGATGCATTCACTTGTACCAGCACAACCTGATTCAAATGGGATCCTGACATGCAAAGTATCATGCACTGATTGCCGTGGGTCTTGCCCCAGAGAAAAAGACCTGGATTTGTAAGACATGCAGGTTGAATTACGTGCATAGCAACTCCGTAGGGCTCTTCGAGGAAATCCTTGGAGGGTCGCAGCATGCAATCCAAGATGCCTTTCTTGTTCCTAACAATAAGAAGCTGCCTGTCATACAGGTACTCGAAGGTCGCCAGTCCTTCCACATCCTTGTCAATCCAGTGATTCACCCATTGGGTACAATGGTTGCTCCATTGGGTCCTGTCGCGAGCAAACTGTTCCCAATACGGGATCGCGGCTGCCCAAGGCCACGTAGCGTACACTCGTTGTACCCTGCGTATCATGAGATCAGAGAGCCATGCTGGTCTGAGATTGGGGCCAATCAAGGCGCTGCTGCAAAAATTGAGAAGGCGCTTCATAGGCTGGCGGTGGGGGGTCCTCGAGAGGTGACCTAGGTATTGCCATAAGCGCTTGAGCCATGTAACCCGCCAGTCTGGACCACCATTGTGTTTACACACCGTTTTTACTGCACGACGACGTGACACAACGTTTTCCACCCAGGTTAAGAGCGGATCTGTTGATACCCTGAGGAGCGATAGTAAAAATGTGGTTTTAGCAGCCTCCAGACGCCTGAGCATGGTACGGGTGGGTACCATAACGGGCGAGGCCCACGCCCATTTAGCCGTTATAAAGGTCTCAAAGATATGCAGGCGCACCGAGATGGGGGCTTCACCCGCATCCATGATTCGTTTGAAGCCATAATACGCCTTGCTCGTCCTTCGCATGAGGTGCGACATAATGCTTTGTACATTATTGGTATGAGCCAGCGGAATGCCGAGGAAGACCAAGGCACTCTCTACTTGCAGAGGCAGCGCTCGGCCTCGTAACCAAATTCCTGGATGGCTCCCATCATGCAGGCTCATGACACGGCTTTTGTCCGGATTAACAGACAGTCCTATGGTAGCCAAAACGTCAACTACTTCTTGGAGCTTAAACTGGAGAGCGACCGGAGTGTCTGCAAACAACATGATGTCGTCGGCGTAAATGATGAAATGCGGAAGACCTAGATTGGGACATGTCCAACCTGGAAACAGTTCATCAAAACGGTCAGACAAAGGAGAAAGGAAGTAGTCCATGACCCGAGAGAAGACATCAGCTGAGTATGCAGTCCCCTGCATAAGCCCCCGACACAGGTCGATGCTGCGGGTCTGCCCCGCCAGGGACAGCTCAACCCTTGTACCGCTGAGTAGTTTGTAGAGGACATCGCATTCCTTGGCGGGCTGGCACCTGAGCAGCCACACCAAGACGGCTGCCTGGCTAAGGCTGTCAAACGCCGCTCTAATGTCTATTTTGGCAACGTATGCCGATCCCTTCACCTGTCTTAGCAGTTGCATCGTGCTCTGAGCCGCCATAACCCCATCTGCGGCTTGCACCCCTGGTCTACATCCGATTTGGTGGCCCGAATATTCAGGGGCCTTTTTGTGAACGCGGCGCATTAGCACTTTAGAGAACACTCGACAGAGAACGGGGGTGAGGCATATCGGACGAAGGTCTTTCGGCTGAGAGGGTCGCGCTGTCTTTGCCAGGAGAACAATCCTTCCTTTCTTCCATGAGTCAGGAAGTGGTTGATCCCCTTGAATTAGCTGGGTGAAGTAACGCGGAATCCGCCCCTGCTTGTCCTGCTGGAGTAAATGCTGGATGCCTTCATAAGTAACCCCATCGAGGCCGGCGCTCACCCCATGCCTAGCTCCTTGAAGAGCTTGCTGAATTTCTTCCAGGGTAACACTTGCTACGGCCAGCTCTCTGCTCCGATCCGCAAGGGTTTGAACCTGACAGGGGGGGGGGCATAGTTCCGGAGGGGCTGAGTACTTAGACTGGTAGAAGGAGAAGAGCTGGGTGGCCGCCTGGTCCTTGCCCCCAGCTCGTTGGACATAAGAGCCCTCACTTTGGCCCCCGGCCGCACTGGAGCGCATGTGTGCTATCGCTCAGCAATCCCCCGAGCGAGCTGACCTGAGGAGGTCCTCCTTATGTTTTGCTTTAGCCTCAATTCGGAGTTGGTGTATCTCCTGCATGAGTGCCGCTCGGGTCCAGGGGTCCTGACTACTCTTCCTACGGGCAATGAGCTCCTTAATGTTGGGGGGGTCAACATAGCGCAGAGGGGCAGGTCGGTGGCTCACATCGGGTCGTCGAAAAGCCTCAGCAATGAGGGCGTCACTCCATTCAGCATGGTCCTTAGTTTCATTCCAAAGCTTAGACCCATCGACCACCCACTTGCCACACAAGGTCCTGCGGGGACGTAGCGTGCGTATTTGACGGTTTTTATGCCGAAAGATGCAGCGCAGATGCAGGGCATTGTGATCCGACGGTAAGGCGACCCGAAGGTCTTCTCTGAGCTGAAAACTGACCTCCCCACCTCGCAGTTGGTACAAGTAAAAATCGATTGCGCTCTCCGACCCCCTAGCGATCCAAGTAGACCCCAAGGCGGGACTTACATGCAAGCCTGTCTGAAAAACTAATTCCCTGTAGTGCATCATGCCACCGAATTCGTCGACCTCGGCGTGCACGTCCTGGTTCAAATCATGACCAACCAAGATGTTCGTATTCCATGCAAGTCCTGAAAGATGCTCCAAAAGGCTGCTAGTCCCCTTCTCCCAAGTATCGAGAGCATCGCACCTTTGTTGGTGCGGAAAGTGCAGACTAGCCAAAACCCAAGGCACCCCATGCATCATGCCGGTGACAATCACCCCAAATTCATGCACATGCACATGCGGTTGTGTGAATTCCAAATCAAGAGAGACTAGCACCGCAGCGCATCGATGACTAAGCATCGGGTTCGCAATGAAGGTTTGGTATTCCTTTCCAGCAACCACTTCCGTGTCAGTCCGGCTGGAAGCTTCAGAAAGTCCCCGAACATCTCCTAATTCCTGAAAGAAAAAGATGTCAGGGGGGGTTTCAAGGCCATGCAGCAAAGTGGACACATGTTGTGTACCTTTACCATGCAAATTCCAGGTGAGACAATCCAAGGCCAAGGGTGCTTGTGTCTTGACCTCAGGTCTGGACTGAGTGCCTGAGCTCACCTCAGGTACAGGCGCCGATTGACTGCTTTCCCCCCCGAAATCCTAGTGCATGTCGAAGTGCGAGAGAATGGCTTGCCTGGAGGTACCAAGTACGGCTTGCATTTGTGGTATGTCGAGGTACCATCCTGTCTCATTTCCCCGGGCGTCCATGAGCATTAGGGAATCGGTGGGTCTAGGGCGGTATTCTACGTGATGCAGCACCTGTGTGTTGGCAACCCATACCTTTCCTCGCCAATCTCGATCGACGATGGTATCCCCAACGTGTTTGATGCAGAGCTCTTGGGTGCTTAAGATTGCACGAATCTTTGCACGTTCTTGCAGTGATCGATTCCTGGCTGCCCAGAAGGCAGACTGCTGCTGTCCTGCTACCTGAGACTTATACTTTAGATCCTTGATGGCCTGGACAACAATCCCTTGAAGCTTACGCTGGGCCCATACGTTGGGTTCGGGGTACAGCAGTTCCACTCGGCAATAGCCACACCTGACATACGGCACGTAGATCCTGTGAACTAAAGCAGCCGCGTTCATCAAGGCGAAAATTTGCCTGACATCTGCTTCGATGTCATCCCGTTTACATTCATTCCAGCCTCCAATGACAATCTGGAGTTCGTCGACATCCCTCATTTGTAAGGGATCCGATCGGGGAGTGGCAGATCCGGGGCCTCGGGTAGGAGCAGGACTGACGCTACGGGTGGGGGGAGCGGACTTAAGAACCTGGAGTTCTTTCTCAAGCTCTTTGAGGTCCCGTTGCATTTGTTGCATGTTAGCTTCCTGCTGATCTGCCCTTCGAGAAAGCCCTTCCTGTCCAGTGCTGAGTTGTCTTATTTCGGTTTGGAGGTCTCGAAGGTTGCGCCCGGAGTCTTGTATCTGTGTACTCATGATATGTTGAACCTGCACAAGCTGTCCTAACTGTTCCCGTATGCTGTTTACCCACGCAGGCTCGTCAAGGTGGAAGTGTTGGGGAGTAGTTTTGTCAGTCTGGAGAGGCTGACGTACCTGAGGGGGCAGCGAGGGAGCTGCACCTGTTGCCAAACCCGGGCTAGGCACTCGTCCTGAGGGCGCAGCATTACCTGTAGGAGGTTCAGCTGCAGCAGGGAGCGGGTCAGGCCGGGATTCACCGTGGAACAAAGGCGGGTAACCTCCACCGAATGCCGGCGTTTTGGTGGAGAGACGCTGCTTCTTCTCCGGCGATTCCTCTCTTTGTAGGTGTCTTACACTATCTAAGCTTGTGTTGTCAGGGATGACGGCATTGACAGGGTCAACATGCATGTTGAGGGGACCGCCCAAGGCAGCATTAAGCGCACAAGCCGCATCTGAGGCTGATGCCAAATACCTGAGGTCGGACGCGGCGTTCGCACGCGGATGCCTAGTTGCTGTACCTCGCTGTCTCTCTCTCCCTCTAGTCATTACATCAGTTGCTTCCGCTTGGCGTTGAGAGGTGTCCAGGTCCGTTTCCCCCCCGCCCCTCCCCTCCTCTGCAGCGTTCACGTGAGGGAGATGTTCATCATCATTTTCAACCGGGTAGGGTCCAACCCCAGCGGGCCCAAGGAAGGGGGCAGGCAGCAGTAGGGTGGACTCTTCAGACATCAGGAGGGGTCAGGAAAGCAGAAGGCTCCAGGATCGCACAAGCACGCAGCGGAGAAGAGCTCCCGTTCTTTGCAAAGGGTTTGGTTTTTTTTTTTTAGGGGTTTCGGGGTTTAGGGTCGGAGGGTTTAGGGTTCAAGGACGGGCCCGCATTGCAGGGAAGGTTCGGAACTGTGACCGTTGCACAGCGGAGGTCCACACTGGTTAAACAGCCACTGCTGTTTAGGGTCTAGGGCCTAAGAAAACCTTGGTTTGATGTTGCAGGTTTAGGGTCTCGGATTTAGGGCAGGGTTTTTCATGGGAGACCGATAAGACTGCAAACTACAATCCCGTTTAGAATCATTGATGCAGCAGAATCCGACAAATCAGAAAACAAGCAAATGACCAAATGTGAAACTTCGCATCCGAAAAACCTAATTTGGAAAAATTCCGAAAGACAAAGCACGGGGGTGGGGAACAACAAACACGATGTGTTCGCTGAGGCATCTCTCTGGAACCCGCCTGTGTTTTTCGTGCTTGTTCCCACCTTGTTTCCTTGAGATATGCTTCTTGGCTTTGTTGTGATGTTCGCTTTCTATCTGCAGGCCGGGGCAGGGGAGGGGGGGTTGGCACGGCAGGGCAGGATTTCTCGAAAATTCCTTTCGCTCCTGCGCTTTTGGTATTTCTCGCTTTTTTTGCTTTTTGGACATGTTGTCGGGATCTCTGATTTTGGAGGACTTGCATTTTACAACAGGTTCTTTAAGAACAGATTGCTACACAGGCTTGTGTACATGCGGCCGGCTGACATGCTTTTGCAATCCACAGCGATGTTCTACTTTGAGCCCGCCAGTCAGCCACATGCCAAGCAAATCCTTCGGGCGATAACGACCCGAGCCATGTTGCCTTCACAGTTCTCGAACTTCAGCGCTTGCTAACTTTTCCGCAACGCCCGAAGCTTTTTTCCCACCCACCCATGTTTCACTCCAGTGCCGAAGCCACACATGTTCCGGATGTGAGCACTCCTCGAGGGATCTCTCAACCTATCTGAACCCTCGCTGCAGCTGACTACTGTGCCCATGGCAGCCACAGAAGCAGGACTTGAGGCCTTAAGGTTGAGGGCTGTATTACTACATCACTCGGGCTCGAATCATGCCTGTTAACTGGTAGAAAATAACTTAGCCACAAAGGCCATTAGTTAGAGGCACAAACCGGTAGATGCTCTCAGCCTTCAAAGCGCCTAACGCCGCAGCCTACACCAGAACACCCTTGTTGGACCGATCTTTATTAATACCTAACCCGCACCCCAGAAGACACTACTAAAGCCTGAAATCTGAAAGGAAAGGATTGAACAACGCCGTCTTAACAAAAAAATCCGAAAATCTGATAACTCGGCACCCTTACCCTAAACTGCCGAGGCCCTGGCATTTGCTGCTCGAGAGCCCAATACTTGGCATCCTCCTCGAGGGTGCAGCTTGGGCTTTCTGGTTTAGGATTTCGGGGTGCTTAGCGTTCCATGTCCTTCGGAAGTTTAGGACCACCTGCTGGGCTAAAGACTATCAGAGCTTCAGGCTATGGTACAAATAATGCTGCGCTGCTTTCAGGATACGTTGAAAAGGGGGAGGGAGTTGTAGCCTATAAGACAGTGCAGTCAAATGTGCACCTGACTCGTCCCCCCCAAGTTGCAAGTACCCTTGATTCTGCAGGTCTTTGTGGTGAGATCACCACTGCGTCCTTTTGCCACTGGCGTAAGGCTTTCTCCTGCGGCGGTGAGCAAAGCCATGTGTCGGGTGTGACGGGGTGATGTGGCCGGGCCATCGTGCACTGGCATGGTTCGAAGCCGATTGCAAACACAAGAGTACATCCCGGCACATGCAAAAGTTCCCGTGTTTATGTATACTGCAGACACATGAAATACATCTGCATGCATACCAACACACAATTACACAAATGTATGTCATGTAACTAATGTAGCGCGGTATCCTGTAATGTACCTATGTGTGCACGTATGCATGAATGCATGTATACCAGTATCCCGTAGACTTACATACTCTGACCACCTCAGGCATTGACTTCTTGAGGACCCTTCGCATGTCCATGGATGTTTCCTGCATAAACACTCCAAGTAGCCCAGACAAGGACCGTGAATAAAGCGTTCCCGTTCGCCAGTTCGATTTACGGCACATCGCAAGGGCTTGGCCTCTTCAGTCTGTTCGTCCCCGAGCTTCAAGAAGACCAGGAGCACAGCAGCGATGATCTCGGTGGATCCAGCTTCGTGGGCTGGGGAGGGGCTGAATTTACCTGCCAAGAAAACTTGGTGATGCACGGTTTGGGGCGTATATATGGGTTATATGGGTTGTTAAGCTACGAAATTTGGGAAATCTGGCTGGATACGGCTTAGGCTTAGGGTTTGGATTGCCTGTGCCTGGGCTCCAGATGCTGTGTTGGAAACTAGGAAACCTCGGCTGACATGCATGGAAGTCCATACAAGTACCATCAAGCAACGGAAAAATCTTTTCTCGCGTACCACGGCTGAGAAATGACGGCGGCCATTAGCTCGGGCCCACCCACATTCTACATTTTTGACCTCGAGCGTACTTCCCAAGGCCTGGCAGCCCTCGGAACTCCGCCGGAGTGCCGGGCATTAAGATCTGCTTTGTAGAAACATGGAGTTACGCAACGCAGAATTGAACTGCACCGCTCTTTGGACGAGCACTGCCTACCAGCAAACAAGGATATGCTGACACTGACATGCTTTGGAGTATGAAGCTGTGCTCACCAAGAAACGTCTTTGCACGACATCTGTTGGCCAAGTAACAAACACGTGGACGGTCAACGGTGGGCAATTGCATAAGCATAGATAGACACATTGCGGGTCAGCTTGTAACGTATGACTGCATGCGCATACGCATGTGGAAGTGTGGACATGCTCACCTTTACATCCATAGGAGATACATCAAAACGTAGAGAGGAGGGAGAGAAGCTGTCACACGTGAACCTATTGAGCCGAGTAGGCCTGGAAGAGCACGCCGCCTCCCATGATGAAGATCCCGATGCTTACACCACTCCTGAAGCTCGACGGAGGTATGAGGGGTTAGAGTTCTGGCTTTACGGCATGCTTTAGCAAAACGAGCCCACACTATGGTGAGTCTTAAGGGTGCTGCAATGGAAGCTCAGGGGACGGCGCTGTGACGGGCTGCGCTTTTTTTCGTGGAAGGCTGTTCGGTGATTCCTTTCAATCTCGAGTTGGGGCATGTTTGTACGTAATTTGAGGGTCGAACTTCCGATCTTTACCGATGATCACGAGGCTGTGATCCGCTTGCTGTGGGCAAGCCCCCCGGCATGGATCCCTCCCCGTCCAGAAGCCCTGTAGACACACAGCCAGTAATTGCCGGAGTTTCTTCACGTATGGCTGCAGCCCTAAGTACCTTCCCATGACTTGAATGAACCGTAACTTAAGCATCGATCCCCTGCAACGACCCAGACATTTGGTGTGCCCCGCTACCTTCTCCAGTTTAGGGGCAATATGTTGTTCAGTATCAGCAGCTGTGAAACTCCGATGCTGGCATGAATGCATCAAAGCTCACAGCCCTGTAGCAACATGACAGTCAGCTGTGGTATCTCGAATACTGCTGCGGGCTGCATTAATGCAATGCCCCCGGACATGCTGCCAACTTTACGAAGTGCAGATCCTCTATCATGGCTTCTATTGTGCTGTTGTACTAGGCCACCATCCCTGATGCTTTCAATCCCCCAAACTTCACTCTTGGCATTGCGATGAATGGCTGGCCGGGGCTCCCCCGGCTCGCCTGTGCCAAAAGGGGAATGCCGTTGCCTCCCACAGCATCCAGCTGACGAACAGCCTGTGCATCTGGGCTTCGGTCCCCCGGCGTTGCAGATTTCAATATCTTCTCTATGCGGAAAGCAGCTAAAGTATCTACGGACTCCCACACGTTGGCAGGGAGGAGCAATTCCAGCACCTTTACAGTCTGAACACAGAAGGCCAAAGCTTGATTGCAGAGGTCGCCCACTGCTTCGCAACATGTTCCGTTGTGTTTGAGTGTTCAGACTTTGGGGCCCAGAGTTCTTCGGGTGGCATGGAACCTCCGGAATGTTCCCAGAGCTACCCTGTCCATCCCATGTGCGCCAGGCCTCCAGGATGTACGCAATGAAGCAGCCCAGCACGATCAGCGTCCCGATGCCGTGGACAACGGCGGCCTGCACAAACAGAGCTGATGTGTTGGGGTGTTGAAACTGCGCTCCAATGCCTGAATATGATCACGGAGCAAGATGTATCCGAGGTCCCTCATTTAGGTGCTTGAGTTCATGTGTATCAACTTCTGATCCACAAAGAAGCACTGCTTTCGAGAGGTTGTGGTAGAGCACCCGACCCTTAAAGCTTCGGCGGTGCCCAAAGTTCGGCTGTGCTTTCGCAATTCGAGATGCCATTGTGAACTTACGCCACATTCGCTTCTAGTCTTACTACCTAAGACTACAACTCCGACTGCGCCTGCAAATACGACTTCTACTACGTTACTACGGCTACTCTACTATACGGCGACGACCACCACTACTACAGTATTGCTGGAGCTGCTGTGACTGCTTCTGCTACGGCTGCTGCTACATCGCGCCTACTCCTGGGTAGCAGAGTATCGTTGTGCGGACTCTTCAATTGTTCGCCAACTTCGCTATGATCATACGTTCACCCATAATCGTTGTGCTACCAACGTCATCATGATATTACCGCGATACTAGTTCAGCCATCCCAGGAGCAGAGACGCGGTAGATGCCCTTGTGGAAAGTTCCTTCGAGATACCTTGAGGGCCAGTTGGCGAGTTGGAACACACCCAGATTTCCAGGCATTCAAGTGACCCTGATAGTAAAACCAGCGACATGCGTCAATGCTCAGAAATACTTCGCGGACGACGCGATTTCAATAATCAACAGCGGGGACGCACTTGGTTGACGCTTGGTGAAAATCCTGCAAGTATGCCTGAGTGCTCCTCGTAAAGGGCAGCCTAACCAGCTAAACTTCATCTCGTGTAGAACCTTTCTGCGAATCTGCCTGAGGCTTCTAGGTTCAAGCTGGCAGCGCTCTCCGAAAACACATTTGTACATAGAGGTACCCTGTGGCATCAAGCGTGTCTATGTCAAGAACTGCCCAAAGCTCCTACGGAGTTTAAGCAGCTTGCAACCACGGGGCTGGATGATGAGGGCAATGCAGACCACCGTCAAGAGCGCGTTCAGGCCGATCGCCGCAAGATTCCTGATGCTGGCAATGGAAACATCCAAAGAGCCGACCTGGGGTCTTCCTTTTGTGGGGGGGGGGGGGGGGGGGNNCCTTCATAATTAGAATAAGGTTTTGGCTTTGGGGTATAATTATACTATAACTGTAATATAAGGAACCCCAAAAGAGTATAGGCAACTGCTACGGCTGCTAAGGCCCCATAAGTATACCAATTTAGTCAGTTGCAGACACCTGAAGAGCTGACCAAAAAACCCTTCTGAAAGCCCTAACCTCTCTTTCATCACTGCCAGGGGAAGCCTTGAAGCTTCAGTCCCAAGCCGGGACACGCCAAGCCCAGGAAATATGCGCTCTTGAAGCCTCGTGCAAGATGTAGGATTTCGGGATTTTGAGGGTTGAATTGGCTCCGTTCCTGGGAAGCAGAAATCCTGAAAACTCCGCCCTCAGAAGGCAACTTCCTCAAACAACCCTGAGTTTTTAGCGGCTTAGGCTGTCGGGTTCAATAACCCACATGTCGAAATCCGCCGGATGAACTTAAGGCAATCGAAATGTTGCTTTGTGTGTCAAATCACCCTACATTAAGGGGGCTTGATAGTTATTGTAAATTCGAATGAGGATCTCCTATAGTAGCGGCTGTGAGGAGCTTTTCAACGAGGCATCTGGCCTTGGCAGGGTTGTGGGAAGACGTTCATGAGCAGAGGTGCGCACCAATCGTCGGCAGCGTCCTTCGAGCTTGGTTTAGGGATGTAGTGTGCAGGATTCCGGCCTCTGACATTCCAGGTGAGGGCGTCTTAGAGTCGGCTGGGAGCAAATTACAAAAGGGGCTAGCCCTGCAGCATTTCCCCCAAGTAGAAAGGAACCCGACCACGAGGGGAACGGGCAATTCCCAATGAGACTCCTGCAGACACAGAGTATCCTAGCTCAGGGCTTCTGCTGCTATTATATAGGTCAGCTCTCGCATCATGTGGGCAAAGGAAGTAACATCGACAATATGGAACAACAATGGAGCCAATTGTAATGGGGAGAGAAGCGGCACGCTTCAGAAAGGACAGCCGTGTTGTCGAAATCATCTCGATTTGCCGAAACCTTAGGATCCCTTCATGGATAGCAAAAACAAACACGATGTTGTCATACAATAAACGCGGGGCCCTTGATCTGGTGAGATCTGGTTGTAGATATACCCCGATGAATATACTCTCCAGATCTACAGAACCGTCGCTCACTCAAGGTCCATCGCAGCAGGCCGAGAACCATGTCCGCCAAACGCTGCAGCCCCAGAACTACCAATTACCAACTCGTCAGGATTATAAACTGAGTCAGGAAGCCTCGAAGCCATACCATGCAGGCAGATCTTCTTATTCACTTCCAGTTGCGCCCATCAAATGCAGCTTGGCTTTAAGTGCATCAAACTGGATACAGGTTGAGAATTTTGGGCGTGAAGTCCTGCGGGACTAAGCTCGAGGTTATGATTCTAACGACTACACTTACGGTTACTACTACATCACTCTTCTGTTTCTGCTCTCTCCTTTGCATACTTCAAGAAGGGCTTGGTGTCTCAGCTTTTCCTTGTTAGCCGTTTGTCTTCTTAAATTGGTCCGAATTTGTCACCGAAGCAACTTGGCCAAGACTCTTGAAGAGAAACTCCCTCTGACAAGATGTCACCTCAGTTGTTCGAGATGGGATTACCAAGGAAACTCTTTGGAAGGTGTTGCAAAAAAAAACATGCATCATCGCATGCTCCCAGTGTTAGTCAGGCTACACGACAGTGTGCATCTGGCTTTTCATTTTCAGCTTTTTGAAGACCCATTCAAAACGTGGGACTTCTGAAATGCTATCGTCGCTGCTTCATGCCTAAACATACCCTCATTGGCTGAGCACCGAAACCTAAGTTAAATAACTGCGTGATCCGTCCCCCCTGCCCGAACATCATGGTCGTGGCCGGTCTATTTATTTCTAACCTTGGCTCGCAGGATCTTGGGCCGGCATCGGTTTGCCGTCTCCCGACACCTGCCACCATCGCTCGTCTTCGGACGGTGTCAGTAACATCCTCAATGTTTACGCGGTTCGGTAGACGGAGTGTATTCCAGAACATGCAGTTTCACGGCACGTGGCAAAGTCGCAAGTGGCCTAAAACCGCTGTAGCGTTGACGGGACCAAGCTTGCATGACATAGCAAAACCTGTGGCGAAGTTGTTCGAGTTTAGTTCTCCCAAAATTGCACTACAAGTTCGCCCACATGCTCATCGAGTTATTCTTTCAATGCCATCCCAGTAGCAGCTTCCAGGTTTGATCCTCTCCGGGAAAATCTGGCACAAGAAGTTGGAGCCCTTCTCCACCTTCCGGGCTCAGGGCCTAGAATCCTAGAAGACTTGCTTTGCCAGCACACCAGCCTCAAGTCTAGGCCTGTGCACTTCTGCATCCCTTCTAGACGTAGGGGCTTGGCTTAAATTGAAGCTTCTCGGCTATGCTTAGAGCCTTGACATGCGCGATGCTGTTTAGAACTTTATGGTGTAGACCCCTTCTCCAAATACTTGGGCGTCGGGTTCAGGGTTCGTGATCTGATCTTGAAAAAACCTTATGTCAGCGGACCCAAATGCCCGGAGTCTATGAGATCTCATAGTACTTTGAAAGCCAGAACTAGACTCCAAACCACGCCTCCGACTCTGGGTCTGTTGAAATAGGTCCTACACTTTCGCCCGAGAAACTGAACAACTCTTACTACATGGTTGCCAGTATTCTGTTATCTTTATGACTGGTACTAGCAGTTATACATCGTTATGAGTACTACTAGCATTGCTATTGTAGTTGTTATCATTGTTCGGCAAACCCAAGGCCGCCTTCAGGAACAGCAGTGTCGTCTGCATGCGAAAGAGCGTCTTTGGGCCCATCATGAAGCGAACGGCGTGCCAGCGGACATTTGTGGACAAGATTTGAAGGGCGAGGCCAAAGACCTGCTGGTGGGACACAGACATCTCTAGAGGATCTGCCTCAAGCAACCAAACAACGAATCAAAGACACCCCCGAAGATATGCACCGAAGCATGCATGTGTGCGGAACCATTTTAACGTATTACAGATCGACTTACTTGCCTTTATATATCTCCGCTCCGCCTCCAGCCCCCCCTTATCACCCCAATCCCCTCAACCACGCTCACCTGCACACGCAACCCCCGCCCCTAGGTACAGACCGGCAAGCCCAACAACACACACAAAGACAGGGAGGCAGAGAGACGGATAGAGAGAGAGAGGCAGTCTGACAAACAGATGAACAGACAAGGAGATCGACAGACGGACACACCGACGGGCAGACAAACAAACAAACAGAGAGACACACACACACACACGCACAACTCGTCACAAAAAGGATCTCGAGACAAGGCAGTCCTCGCACGAGCTCTCAGCTCTTCTTTGCTTTCCGCCATGTCCGTCCACCACTTAAGACAAGATTGTCAAACAGACCACCCGACCCCAAACTCTCGCTGCCCCATGATGCTGCAGGCCTGGGCCCTGAACTCTTAAGAACAAGCGGCTCCAAGGATCAGTATACGGTATTTCGTATGTGTGTATATATATATGTACATATTTGTTATATAACATATAATGCAAAAGGGACAGGGTTTAGGGTTTAAAGGATGCAAATGATACCGCGGCCATTGGAACTGGAAGCAAAGGCACGGAAAGCAGCGCGTAGACCACGGCGATCTTCTTTCCCATCGTGGAACCTCATGGCTCGTTCGCCGCATGTAACTGTAATGCCTCGTCAATGAATTGGTTGCTACGCGGCATGTGGAGGCTTGTCCTCGACTTTTTGATGAACTTACCCATGCCCCTACTGCTGACTCCTGAACCCCCTGAACCCGAAATCGACAACACCTGAAACTAAGCACGGACAGCACTGGACCTGCTTCCAACATAAACCTTTTCGGCCCGTGCCTGCGTGCACGAATTATTGATATTATAACCGTGGTATGCTGTGGCCATGATCGAGTGTGTAAGAAGTGATGCTTCTTAAGAGGTTCAAAGCAAACATCGCCATTACATGACAGCAAGACCCATCACGATTAGCGCAGCAACATGAAGGGTGCTTTTCAGAGCTTGTCGTGGTTCTCACATGAGTAGACAGTCGACAACATTGAGCGTATGATGCAAGCTCCGGAGCACCTGGGCCTTGGGATCAAACTCAAAACGAGCTTACATCACTTCCCTTGCACCCAGCGTGCGAAACCACTTGCCTCTGATGCTCCATGCATCCCTACACATCCCAACACCGCGAGACACTGCTCTCTGAGCTCTGAGCTTAACGAAAGCAACCTCAAGGGCTGCAAAGGGCAGGGGCCTGTTTTAGAACGTGAGCCTTTGAAGTCTCGAGCCGAAGGTGCGGCGAAGAAGGGCCCCAAAGCTGGCTCAAGGGCTTTACAATGTTTAAAATTTATCGGCTTATATATCCAGAAGCTAGAGGCCACTCTGCAAAGCGAGAAGCCCTCTAAGTGCACGCAAGTCAATCTCGACGTGCAGCTATGTATCAGCCTTGAGCTTTTGCCAGACGTTACTCCCCCCTGCCTTCTTGAGCTTCGTGCCGAATGTGGCAGCATACCGCAAGCCTTGAGAAACTCATAAAAGACCCTGGGTCGTGGGCCTGGCACCTAGCCGGGCCTAGAGACTCCAGGGTTTCACTGAGTTTAGAGTATCGGGCATTTTGTGATTCACTCTTCCTGCGTCTGTGGATATAAGAGAAACATATAAAAGACTCTCTGCCGTTTCATCGCGAAGCCATGCCTCCGAAATCTATCCAAGACGCAGCACTTTGTCAGAGTGGACTCTTTCCTGGCAGCTTTAGGGTGCTTTCTTGGGATGCTGTATCGGACGATGCAGCGGGGCGCACAAGGTTTCACAGTTTGGCGCATCCTCAGCTTTTCCTGAGGCATGTTAGGTTGGCTAGCGTTGCATGCGGATTTCAAAGTTTTCATTCCTGCACAAGGAGGCATGACAGACACGAGATGATGTCCAAGCCTCCCCACACTGTTCCGTGCTTCCTTGCGTCTATGTAGAATCCCCCAAAGCACTTAATTAATCCCCCAAACAAGCGGAAATGCCCAGAGTTTATCTGTCTGAGACTCGAGAAGTCGGCAGCACACGAGGTGGCCAAAATTTCGGACTTTCCGTCGCAGCCTATGTTTTCACCTCAGAGGATGCAAGGTGTAGGGCGCTCACACTCGGACAAGCCATTTCACGCGGGGTTTGGGGCGGAAGGTTTAGGGTGAGCTTAGTATCAGGGGCTCGGGTACCGCAATAGAAGGGTGCATGAAACACAACACACAGAGCTCTATGAGGAAGACTGGGGGGTGGTACAAAACTAATGCACTTGGAGACCAACTTGCAAGGCTAACTGAAATTTCACGAATTTTCAAGAAACACAGGTTGGTTGACATGGAAGCTTGTTGAGCACATCGGCATCCTCTGCGGCTCTGGTTGGAGTGATGCATAAGGATGTGTTGCTGCCATGAGACCACTACTACCAGATCCCTCAGCCTCGGCATCCTGGATTTTCCCCTATCTTGACTATAAGTCCACGGTAGCAGGTAGCATCATTACTATTGCAACTATCAGGGTTTGTGTGGTTCAGCAGGTGTTCAGGGCTTACTATGGTTCTCGTTGCTGTTCGCAACAAGAAAGGCTGTCTTTGTTGCCAAGGAACATGGAACTGGGTTGACGCCGACATCCTCTGACGATGTCGAGCAATGTGGATAATTGGATCCCCTCAGGCACCTGGCGTGTAAATCTGATCCTCGAGGACTTGTGCAGAGTCCCGGGGTGGCAAGCTAGCCTGACAAAGGATTATGCCCAGGTGCGTCCACGGCAAGTTTGGGCACGCGCCGGTCAAGCTATACCAGTAGTACCTGGAACCGTGCGAGATGAAGCAGCCACACGCAAATCGGGCTCGCAGTTTTAGTCGGGTCGAAGCAGGGCATAGAAACATGTCATCCCCAAATTCGTTAAATAGAAGCTTCGTGCTGCCGTCCACCACTCAATTTGTCCAAGGAGCGGATATGACAAAACAACGACAGCCTCATACATGTCACAAGTGCCAAAGTGTGCACGCTCAAGGCTGTCGCAATCAGCTTTTTGCCAAGACGAGACACGTTCACTGTAGGATCTGTCACTTGGATGCCCACAAAATCGCCAACCTCCGAATCGAAATACGCGAGCGGTTGAGAAACGGCTCTGCCCTCGTTTCCCGCTATCGAAAAGTTCGCTCCACGAGCCTTGGCAACCTCTTCCAAGGCTGGCTGATCTAGGCAAAAAAGCGGCGAACACATGAAAACGTCGCAAGTCTCTCAGCTGCAGAATGCCTCAGCCCATGCTTAGAAGCGCGATCAAGATGCTAGTGGCTACGCCGTAGTCGAAAGCACTGAAAGCGTTGGAGAAGCCCATGACACCTCCTACCTGGTGGCAAGAGCACCGGGAATAACACGGTGGTCACATGCTGCTTAAACTGCCTAAACATGCCCATGCCGTTGCAAGAGCTCCTGAATAGTATCGGGGTTCCTCACCTGCACGCGATAATGCCTTGGACGGTGCGAGGAAGCGGGTCTGGCTGCACCCACATTCGTAGGACGAATCCTGAGCTGTGAGGGCCAGGCCCCACGGAATCGATGTTGTATTTCCTGAAGGGCGAAGAGTTTGTCCCAGGGTTTGTCGTAGCAGCACACGAGACCTAGTCACAAAGCTCGCGTATCACACGCACTACTGTAACACTGCTCAGATGCGAGACCGTAAACATCTGAACTGACAACTCTGGCTACAAGAACTTGCGCAAAAGGCCGCATGCTGAAGGCCTTGCAGGAGACCCGGAGTAGTCTGCAAGACTCTGCAGAACCCCCTAAGCCCTAAACCCGTGAAGGCAAAAGCATGACATTTGCCCAGTCCTGGCGGTCCGAAGCGGATCGCCTTGAACATGCTCTACGATCACCTCCTGTTTTCGACATGCTTCGTTGGCTTAGGGTTCAGGGTTTAAGGGTTTAGGGGTTTCGGGGCTTAAGGTTTACGGTCATCCAGTCCCACACTCGCACAAGGCCAGGGTTTAGGCTTTAGGGGTTTAGGGGTTCGGCGCTCACAATTCGGGTTTTGAAGGGTTTGGGTAGGGCAAGCTCTGGTCTTTCTACCAGCAGAACCCCAAGCCTTGGTTTCTTCAGACTAGATTATTACTAGTCTACTTGTTGTTGCGATTATTAGTAGTCTTATTCTTATCATATGCTTTGTTCTTATAGTATGTGTCAATTACGATGAAAACTGTTACGACTACTACTATTGTTACTTTTACATTGATATCAGTATGATTTCTGCTTATTCCTATTACTATTCATATTCCTGCTCCTCTTGCTACTGCTGCTACTACGACCATCAGTATGAATATTCCTGTGTCTATTTCTGTTCACGGTATTGTTAACGCTAATACTCTGGCCACTGTAAATGTCACGCTTTCCCACCGGCGCTCAGCACGTCAGGGCACTAGCCTATTACCTCGAAAACTCAGCCCAAGCAGCACACACTGATGGCCACGCCCCTGCGATCCCCTTCGAGACAGGCTCAACAGCAAACCGGCGCCGTGGCCGCGACTCGACGGAAAGAGGGGAGCAGAAGCTATGCACATACCGCTCTGTACAGATGCGAAAGAAGCGAGCATCCTTGGACCGAGCAGCTTAAGAGAAAACAATGTATTGTTATTATAATTGTTGTTATGATTCACCTTTGTGTTTAATTTAATGCATAGCACTTACACTGTATGAATTTTGCTGTTGATGCAACATAACATAATATAGTATAGTATAATATAGCGACATATAACAGTTTAACAAAACATAAAAACAATGATATGATGACATAATACAATGTGATATACATATTAAAATATGTACTAGGATAAAATGTGATGTAGAAAAATGAACAACAATATGATATTGCACAACATAATGCAATACAATATAATAACATGCTTTGTACTTTATATCACAACATGGCCTAAGACAAAATAAATTGTATATTGTAGGAAAGTATAACATGTAAATGTAATCTTCAATAAATTGTAATCTAATCCCATGCAAACATAGTAACATCGTAATATAGAACAATATAGTACTGTAGACTGTAGTACAGTATGAACTTTTAATGTAATATGTTAATAGATAGTGGGATGCCCAAGGCAAGATATAGAAACTATAATACGACATAGTATCATACATTTTCGTATAAGGTTAGATAGACAAGACAGTCTCAGTCAAAGTTAATATAATGAGCTATACAATCCAATGGAGTGTGTATGCTATCTTACCTTATCTTGTCTTGAATATTATTCTGCATTGCAGCTAGGTTATATGGGAGCTTTCCACGTTTTATGATTCTCCTGTGGGTCTGGTGCGCATCATTGTCGCCCAAGTGTTCGAAGTCTCGGTGACGGCGTCGAATTGGGGTTTAGGAATTGAAAAGGCTTGCAAAGCCTGCAAGGCTTGCTAGTTCTCGTTCAGCAACAGGACAGCTTCAGGGCAGTACCTACATGACTAGATCTGGCCCCGCAGCAGTCCGTCATGATGTACTTGAGAGTTCCCAGCACATCCTTAGAAATCAAGAACCCGAGCGCAGCTTGGAATCGAGGTCTGCGACGATGCTTTTGGGTTGGGGGGGGGGTCATACCGCTACACTGCACCTTACCTTCCAACGAAAGACTGCCTTTGATGCATCCAACCAACAGCCCCACAGCAGGGTGCAATCTGGCATCTGCCATGTTGTTGTTCTGCACCTTGTTGGTCTCGTTGCCTCAGTGATTTGTGCCAAAGGCTTGCCGGCTTCATGGAGCTTGAAAGGTCTCGGCAAGCACAGCCTAGGCAATCAAGAGTTACCTGGAGAATCAGGGGCTATCGTGGACAAGCACCGGTTCTGCTTGCTGCGCCTTGCCAACACCCGCACTACAAAGGCCACACCCTGCAAACCCTCCAGGGCCTGCCTCCTGCTGGCATCTGCATTGCCCGGAACATGTCAATGGTCTGCAGCAGCAGTCATCAGGCGAAATTCAACTTCGCAAACAAACGGTAAAAAGGCTTCAAGCTGGGGGTAGCCCAGCCCATCGACTGATTTTTCGGGCTGGTCGCGTCCAAGACGAAATCAGTCGCACTCTCGGCGCTTGTGCAGGTCTCGGGGCACATACTGTCCGTGTAGTCAGGCTGCCGTTTTAGGAAAGCTGGCTTCTCCCGAAAAGAACAACAAAGCTAATTGCACAATGCTCAAATTTTTGGAAACCGTCACGGATAACCACAATTCATTCGCACTGAAAAGAGAAAGCCACGTGAACCCCCCAGGAAACATTTGCCACATCAGACGCCCACGGCAGCTTTTTCAGCTGGCCCTGAAAATCACTTAACGAAAACTGGTGTTCCTGAGCTGTTCGGGTCTTGTTGTAGGCAACTCGGGAAGCAGCCGACGCCAATGCCTGTATTGCAAACCCTAAACCCTAAACCCTAAATCCAGGGGTTCGAGGAATCTTGGACACGTCGGAGCCTGCAGATCCATGGCGCAGGTCCAGGTGAGGAGCGTGGCAGTCCATATCCGCAGCATGAGAACAGCCTGAGATTTGTAATTAAGGCATTTAAAAATTGATCGAAAAGAGCTAGCTTTGGGGTAGGGATGGGTAGGGTACATCATTGAAATCTAAACCCTAAACTTAAACCCTAAATCCTTAGATTTAGGGATCCATTGCGGGTCAAACTTCCACTAGCCGGGCGAACAGACATAATCCACCAGCTGCAACTACCCGGCAACCTTTACCGACCAGTTGCTTGCAATTGGTTGTGGTTGCAGGATAATTTGTTCAAGGGGTTTCCACTTTCGCCATGACCCAACACGCCCAAACCAGACTTTGTCTGCCAACTTGTCTGCCTTGTGCCTCTCAGAATATGGAAGGACAGCAAAATCGATTCGACCCTGAAGAGCTGCATGGACTCGGAAAAGCCTTTCCCAACACAACGCGCAGAACTTACAAATACCGGCCTCTGCTTGCCAAACAAGGCACAATGCTCCAGGATTCAACCAGGACCTCGAATCAAAGGACTCGCTGCTCCAGCCAACTGACCTCTTCAGCTACAATGCACAGCTGAGCCGAAAACAATGCTCCAAAACTCCTACAAAATCGGCGAGCTGCAGCGTTCCGGAGCAAAACGCGTGCGGACGGGTGCAAGGCCCCCGCTGGGCCGTTGCGGTCTGACAACTGGAAGGAAGCCGAAACAAATGGCAGCGGACCGGTGATCGGCGAGGTCGTTGTGGGCTTAGGGTTTAAACTTCTCTAGGGCTTAGGGTACCAAGGGCACTATCCTGACAAAGGTCCAATTCGGTCAAGAGAGGTCGACTCCCAACCGGTGGGGGGAACCAATCTGTCAGAAAGAACCAGACAAATCCCAACAGTAGAGAGCTAAGCGCCGGCAACCTCATGTGAACCGAACGAAAATTTGCACGATCTTTGCGAGGGTGATCTTTCGGTTTTTTGGGGTTTTAGAGTGGGCGCACATGGCCCCACACCTTTACGATCTGTGATGGTCGAGCGCTTCCAATATTCTGTATGTGCATATGCATAGTACAGATCTGCAACCTGCACCAAGGCCCTCCTCCTTCTGAAACGCCGCGTTGGATAAACAGTTATGCACCTCCTCTACAGGAACACACTTTCGAAGTCCCTTGGACTGAAGGTGTACAAAGAAGTGGAGGGTTTGTAGCCCTCCAACAAGGAATCGAGTTCAAGGGCACGGGGAGCTTCGGGCTAGGTTGTGGAGCTCTGTGGCGATAGGTTCGGCACTTCGCTCGCCGATGTAGAGGGCGGTGGCACCCGCGACCACCTCAGACAAAGTCATAAAGTCGCACACATCGAACCAACACATGCAGCCGCTTAATCTGTCTAGCGGCCAATCTTTAATTGGTGGTTAAGCTCCGGCACAAGTCTGTCCTTGTTTGGCCGATGCACCATGTTGAAGGTTCGTGAGACCTGGGGTCGGGGTTGATAGACTGATAAGGCCCCTGTCTATATGTGCACTTCATGCCCTATACCTACCCTTAAAGAATTTACAGCACCTTCGGGACCAAACTCCTAAACCCCTAAACCCTCGGCCCTAAACACTTCAAACCATGGAAGCCCCAACCCTCCTAACGCCCTATCAGCCGAAGCGAAGCGGTCGACCAAGTTGCATTCTGTCCCTGCCAGTGCATGCTCAGAGGTCCACCGAAGCAACAAACAATTAAAATGCACATCCAACATCTGGGCTAGCCGATACACATGTAAATCTATATATAATAATGTACACATAAATGTCTACTTACATACAGCTGTAAGGTATTGATCACCGCACAGGGGCGCACCTGCATGCATTATCCGCAGGCATGCAAGACCTCATATGGTAATAAGGGTGTGTGGCGCAAGTTTGAAAAAAACGTTGCGAATTGTGGGACAGAAAAGATAGAAAAGGAAAGGGGGTACTAGCGTAGTAGTACTCGTCGTAGTAGTAGTAGTAGTAGCAGCAGCAGCAGCAGTAGTAGTAGCAGCAGTAGTAGCAGTAGTAGCAGTAGCAGTAGTAGGANNAGTAGGAGGAGGAGGAGGAGGAGTGGCAGCCGAAGCAGTCGCAGTAGTAGTAGTCGTCGTCGTAGTAGTCGTTGTCGTTGTGACCGACAGCCAAAGAAGCGTAAGTAGCAGTGGCAGCAGCAGTAGCATCAGCCCGCATAGCAAATGTATACCCCCACGAACGTACATACTCGAGAGCTGCAGGCATGCGTTGGGTGCTGTTTGTGCGCAGTACTGTTACCTATCCACTGCTCAAAACTCTACAATATTGTGGACATATGGGCACACGTCTAGCTGAGCATGGTATGTGCCCAGTGTTCACCCGTCGGGCTTCGCGGCTCAACACTATGAGGTACTATGACTAGTCACAATTGGCTCCGAGCGTCTCTTCCGACGGTGTGGCCGATCTGGCAGACCTCTGTCATGGGAGGAGGGTCTTCGACGTGCTACGACTGAGTTCAGCAAACCGGCTTTCGTAAATAGTCGAAATGGAGGAATGCCGTATCCGGGTGGGAGTGCGGAACTGCATTCGAATGTGAAATGCGCTGAGGTATGCGAGACGGCCCAGGGCAAGGCAAACAAATCACAGGAAAAAGCAACTGAGCTGAGCTTCCAGGATAGCATGTCATTCATACGCATGCTTCACACTGGAGTGGATAACGCCAGGTATGACTTGCACACTCGCAAAATCATGATCCTTATGAAGAATATGTCAGCTCAAGTTTGCTCAAGCGGTGTATCTGCATGCAAGGTGCTCTTCCCGTGCCGCATAGGCTTTGGCGGCTGCTTTTTTCGGAGGCAGGAACCTAAGAAAGCTGGTGCAACACAGATCGCTAGGTGTGGAAACATAATGGGGCATCATGCCATTTTCGACCTTTCGATTTTGTCTACAAAGTCCGGCGTTTCGCGTGGGCTGCTGTGTATGCCTCAGCATAAAATATATACCTATTTGTCTAACAGAACGTCTCTTCTCAGGCGACAGATGCTGACTGCGGACCTTCATCAGGATCTTGCGTGTCAGTTTTATATAGGCACGATTCTACTTTAACAGAGAGTTTGAGAGAGAGAGAGAGAGAGAGAGAGAGATAGAGAGAACGAAGGGAACACCTGGGTGCCGGGCTGCATCTGCGGAATCGGCTGGACGAGGTGACGCCCCCACCTCGACGAACTGTGTCGTGACATGAACAAGAGCTTCCGTAGTGTAGTAGTAGTCGTCGTCGTCGACGTACTGGTAGTGTTAGTGGGAGTGGTAGCAGCAGTAGTGGTAGTAGTAGTCGTCGCAGCAGTAATAGCATTGCCAGCTCCGCTGTGTAGAGTTACACAACATCTGATCAATAATGGTGGCAATTTCTGTTGATGGTAAAACTATGACTACTTCGACGTTCCAAACTACTTCGGCACTTGCGGTGAACGCGTATGACGTGCATTATCTGCAGCAGCACAATCACAACTATCTCTAGTGGTGGCAAAAGTACTCTTCATTGTCGCACTAATGGGGACAAAGGATTTCAGTCGTCTGCATCGCTCTGGGTCTCCACGAAGCCATAATTTTCTCGAGGGCCATGCTGAATTGCCTGCATTCGCTGCCTCTCCAACTCCTGACAAACTGCCGGCATTATGTTTCGGATTTCAGCTTCCGTCTGCACCCGGCTCGGGGATGATCAGACTTCTGGTCACATGGTGCTGAAACATAGAGGCTTCCGAGGATAAAAACATGCATGAATCTTTGCAAACAAGGGGCAGTGACCACAACAGTGATTCCAATTCATCAGTTCCGATCGGAGAATTGTATTAATTATCGGGGTAGGAAGTGACGCAAGTTTTGCGTCCCCGATCCATCGGGAATGCTCGGTGACATGCGCAGATCCGAAGGTGACGTTGTGTGTAGTCACGGGGGAGGTCAGGATTTGGATCGAAGAGCAACTACATCCAGTCCCGTGCTTCGCCTGTTACACACCAAAACGGGAATGCTCACCTGTGTACATGCATCTGTACATGTATCTCGATACAGCATAAGTTTCTCTCGATTGTCTGCCTTATCTTCCTTTATACCTCATCCTATCCTATCTGTCTATCTACTTAGCTACCTAGCTGTCTATCTACCTATCTATCTATCTATCTATCTATCTATCTATCTACCTCTCTATCTATCTATCTATCTATCTATCTATCTATCTATCTATCGAGCATGAATCTACTTCACACATTTTTTAGCACTCGCACTCGACGCATCAGGCGAGGTAACGGGAGAACAGAACAGCTGAAGCAGCGACTTCCTGCCTCTCGCACGAAGTCGCCCTCTGATCATCTACTTCACACATACACACACACGATTATAGTCTGTTCGCACCCTGACCTCTTTCGGCACATTGTATATGTGCAGACGCGACAATTCATGCCTGTGTATGAACGACTGAGCCGATGTATGTACGTATAAATCAATGATAGTGTGCATGCAAGCAAAAAATGAGACATGGAGAGGCGGCGCCCGAAAATTGTATCAAGGCCACCTCTGTACAGCGAACACGAACGGACGATCATGGAAATTGAGCTGCCCAAGCTGCCCTCAAACCCCCGTCAAAGTCTCAGACCCCGAGTCGGTAATTCAAAGACCGTGCTGAAACTCGCTTCTGCCTGTCGCTGGCGGGCCATGTCGGCATGTTGGCGCTCGACCTGCTGGGGCGTCCAACAATGAACTCACGTCCGAAAGCCTTGATGCCAGACAAGGTCCGTGAGAGCCTAAACCCTCCGACCCGCAACTCCGACTTCAGCCTCTACAGGTGAAGGCCGCGGCGCGCCCATGCGCAAGGCTGCCTTGACTGGGCTGCGGGGATCGTTTGGATTTCAACTTGTTCCTTTGCTTCGCATGGTCCTTACGATGATAATAGTCGAGAACTTAGAGTGTCCTTAGCAACTGTTTGAACTGGATGTGTAGCTGTGAAGTCTGGCGGGTGTGCTGTGGTGGAGACCGACTAGCCAGTATCGAGGGATACCGACTGAAGTGCAGTGTCAGCCTCAAGCTCTTTCAATCCTTGCGGTTCCTTCAGCTCTCTCGCTCTGCATGGAACAGGAGCATGAACCTGAAGCGGAACTCGAGCGAGGTGGCTGCGTTGCAAATGCCCTGTTAAACAACAAAAACAGGCTGTTGACCAAATTATGGGTCATGCATTTGCAACAGAAAAGGTTTTGCTTGCACATGGTTTTGGATGTCCCTTGCCCAGTGCCTCCTCGAAACTATTGTCTCGAGACAGCTCTTATGGCACATGCACCCTTAGCACCCTCGTAAGAACAACAATCGTAATATAGTAATAGCAAGAGCAACAGTAGAGCAGCCTCTAAACTCAAAATAATCGGTAGTATCGGAGGAAGGCCTGCCGAGCCATCTCATCTTCACGAGCCTGTGCCAAGCAAACCGGCGTGCCAGCGTGCAAAGGGGTGCAACTTCAAACTCTCGTTAGGCCACGGCTTTCGACTGTCTCAGTTATGCGGACCGAGATTGTTCGACTTACCACGACTTTCGGATTTGGGTCTTGGCTCGAGTCAAGTGGCCAAAGGTCACCGGTATCGTCGTCGATTCTGCTCGGACTGAAACTGCAGCAGCCGGGGCTCTCGACAGCTGCCTTTGACAACCTTCCTTCCTTCCGAATTTACGGTTTAGGGTTCCTTCCTTCCTTCCTTCCTTCCTTCCTTCCAGTTCCAGCACATCCCAGAACCGAACCCTCGAACCCCACCCTTCCAACCAGCCCCTCCAAACAATTCGCCTCCTGCTGCAGGATCTCTGCCTCCTCTTTCCATCCTGCGAGAGATGTACTGAACATCGGTAGGAACCCGCCAGCAAGACGAGACCCATGCGCTTGAACAAACATTCGCAAATCCGATGCCCTAAACAGTCAGGTCAAGAAAGTATAGCACGACCAACAAATTAATTTTCCATGTGATTGTCCTTGCGTTCGTATACCAATGCCGGCACAGAGCCTAGTCAACCTGGACCCTCTGTCTCAATACTGACAAAACCGTAAGAGGTTCTAGCCCGCCATCTGGCACATGCTAGCTGCTAGCTCGCCCATTTTAGGACTGGGGTGGGTGCTCAGCAGCTTCTCGTTCACCAGTCGCACGGTCTCGTCCGCTTTCTTGTAGCTGACACCTGAACTCCGGCCGCTGTCCAGGTCCGTGAGCCCGGAATACCATCCGACGTAGCGGAACCCCGACAAGCATGTGCTGTTGGACCGTGGTGCCGCCACACCATGAAGCATGTGCAACTGTCACATGCAGACTCAAGACTTGTTAAATGGATGGCAGGTAGAGTTTGCCATGCTGCCTGCTGAAACTGCGCGGATTTTGCTGTCACAGGCGAGTGACCGGAGAGGGGCTTACTGTACTACCACGATGATTAAACAAAATATTCTTGTTAACATTACTGCTGCTGCTGCTGCTGCTGCTGCTGCTGCTATGACTACGACGACGACTACTGCTACTTCTACCTGGAACTGCTAAGCTGCTACAGTGCTACCGCTGCCACTGCGACTGGGACGGTGACCACTACCACCACCACCACCACCACCACCAACCACCATCACACCTCCACCTCCTCCTCCTTTGCGGTGTGCGACAGGTTACATTCGATAGACTCTTGAACTTCTCGAACACTAACTAATTAGTTAAATCCAATCTCTGGCCCCGGCGTTTCGACGCATCTGCATGCTTCAGGATAGCAGCTGCCATTCCTCGGCCGACACAGCAGCTGTTGAAGCAGAACCTCTGACAAAGCTCTGGAGCTGAGGAACCAGATGTGGGCTTGGAAACCATTCAAACCGCTTCCTCCACAACCAACCTGTGTGACCCCCTTGAGGTGCGAGCCTTCCCCCCTTGCTTTCTGCAGCAAGGAACGGTCGGTCGCCACTGCGGAAAGTGCATGACTAGGCGCCCCGGCGCCACTGCATAGTGAGCTTCTCGTGCATCAACCGTGTGGCTCTCACGGCGTTGGCCTTGCTTTGATACAATCGTCACACCATGCTCGAATTCCTGTAGCCCTAAGCCTCAGGCGTGTAGTCTGCCATTGGATCATCGTGTCATACGACGTCCATTTCAGTGCTTAGCAGAAGCTGAATTGAATACCAAAGCTACCAACAACAGTGACCGATGCTTCTAAGCAAGTGGCACTAGTCTGTCACAAGGATGTGTGGCGAGCCTCATCAATTGCTGCCCTCACGATGTGCCAGAACCTGTGACACCCAAATCTTCCCTTTGTCCGCCACATCAACCAACACTAGTGCCTGTAACAAGAACACCCGAAGCCTCCCAAAGTTCCCCCAACCCTAAACCCTAAACCCCTAAACCGTAAACCCTAAATAAGCCAAAAGCTCACCCAGCTCCGGGCCCAGATGTGCGGAGCCAACTTGTTGCAGGACTCGGCACGCTGCAGCCGGCCTCGTATCACAGCAAATGCTACTTCTGGGGACATCTAAGAAATCAGAGTAGCTACAGCGACGCAGAACATACTCAGTAATAAGAGCAATGGCACTTCTCTGACCATGCCTCCGCATGGTCGGCTGGGGATGTCGATTTTGAACTGGAGAGGTTGAATTGGCATGTGCTTTGACCAAAGTTGTGGGCGCATCCCACACTGCTGAACGATGCATTCCGAAGCCCGCCACGGCAGATTTCATCAACGAACAAAGACGGAAAATCCAGCAACTCTCCTTGTGACAAAGATGGGGGGCGTCTTTAATTCCAGCATGCAGTGGCAAGGACTACTAGAGCTCCAAGAAAAATTGGACGCGTGCTCAAAGCCAATACGGCCAACGGGGCCCCGACCCTCGGACATCTGGAAGAGGTCCTGCAGCAAATTGCACGGTTAAAGATGCCGGCCACCGCCGCTGAAGTCGTAAAGCCATGGAGCCTTGTTCCTCTCAGCCTCCTTAGAAGAGCTTCGAGGAGCAATGTATGGATCTGTGGTTGGCAGCAGCGGCAGCACCACTGCCTTCCGCTGTGTCTGCAATGCACGCAAGTCGTCGTCGTGGTGGAGGTTTGTAGTGGGCCCAATACTCTACACAGCGAAACTCCTAAAATTCCTTAAGACAAACCCAGAATAGATATTATGGCAACATAGAACGTCCCCTGTTCACACACCCACACACACAAAAACAAAAACACATGCACAATCTCAGGCCAAGCCCGGAACCCAAACTTTACCCGGAGACTCCCTAAACCCTAAACCCTAAACCCCTATATGCAACAAGGGTTACAGCGTTTGTCCTTCACGAAGCCAGAGGCGACCTCCACCTCTGCGAACGCAGCGCCTCTGGAGTCTCAGCGTGTATGTCTGTACGGTAGATCGGTAGATGGATAGAAAGATAGATAGACAGATAAATAAATAGATAGGTAGGTAGATAGATAGATAGCATTCTAATTCTGTGTATATATATATAAGATGAATGTGTACAACATTGACATGATGCATATGTACAGGAGTGTGGGTGTGCGCTTCCTGTCATGTAACCCCCTAAGATCCCCTAAGCCTCGAAACCCATACAACTGGTATCCTGAGATCCTGGGTCACGGGGAATTAGGATGGAGTGGCAGCCGTGACTCAAACTCGAATCGGACCATCCCTGTCGAAAGCTGCGCTTCTGTCAGCTGCAACCGTAAATCCTGAACCTTAAGCCCTGGACCCTCTTGAGAGGTGTTGGGGCATTACGATACCGAGTTAAAATCACGGTCCGAGAAGATCAGCTTCAGCCGTTGCTTCATGCTCAAGCAGCGTGAAGTCGTCAAATCCTAGACAACCCTTTAGGGCTTCCTGTTGTTCTCCATCCTTTTTCCGTCCGCAGGTGAACTGAAAAGGCCATGGTGGCTTACCGTTTTGGGTTTAGGTCTTTCTCAGCCTCTTCGAGCAATTCCCGCCAATCCTATAAGTCCTAATCCTAAGCGACTGTTCTCGACCTGTCCTCCCCGAACAGTTCACACCGTGCAGCAACAACTGCAAGCCCGTTGCCAGCGAAAGTGAACTGCCACCATACCCAGGCCTGAACCTGCACAAGTGTTAAACCTAAACGTCATACTCGTATCTAGGTTGCGCTCTGCATCTACGAAAATCAGAGCACACATTTCAAGAAAGGCACAGATCACCCTCAAGCACCAGAACCCCGTAACAGCCGGGCTCCCGGCTCAGCTCTTGCATGATCCGTGTGGCTGCACCCATGGCCTAGCCGAGTATACTTGGTAGTAAGAGGCCCAGGACTTACGGCTTTTAGGATATTCGCTCTCGCAGCTGGGACTGTAAGGAATTTAGGGTCTCATGTTTTCAGACCGGATCTTGCGATTAATGGAACAGGGAGAGAGGAAATCTGACGAAGTCGATGTCGGGGCTTAGGCTGTATGGAGACTGGCGAAGAGCTATCCACAACCGACAGCGTAACTCAATGACTGAGCAAGCCGTCTGTTGCCCTTGCATGGGGATCTGAAGCACCGAAATCAAACTCTGCTCGAAGACCATGTAGAGCGGCCCTTCGGACTTGGTTCAAGAAACAGACTTTCAGCTCTGAGGGAAGTAAGATACGGTAGGTTCTGAAGGCCAGGACGCATCTGCATGTTGTTGCGTGCCCGGATGTCACACGTGTGTGTCTGTCTCTGTGTGTGTGTGTTTTCGTTTCTTGTTGGTTTTCGTGTGTGTGTGTGTATGTGTGCGGGATGTGCGGGTGTGTGTGTGTGCTTGTGCTTGTGCTTGTGCTTGTGCTTGTGCTTGTGCTTGTGCTTGTGCTTGTGCTTGTGCTTGTGCTTGTGCTTGTGCTCGTGCTCGTGCTCGTGCTTGTGCTTGTGCTTGTGC